CAGTTTCAATGGGAACGCCTGAGGCACAGCCTGGGGTGCTTCAAGGATGCTTCTCTCAGTGCACCTCAAACCCTGGCATCCCGAGGCATGGTTTGAAAAGTACATTAAAAAAAAAAAAAAAAAAAAAAAAAAAAAAAAAAAAAAAAAAAAGTCCTTTCCAGTGATTCTCAGATCACTGACACGATCGCCCATAATGGAGCCAAGACGGTGACTTTTATCTCGCTGTTCCTCATAGTCCTTAATTTGGAGCTCATTGACAGGACAGACGGTAATGACACTTTCAGAACTGTTATGGTCTAGAGTGACAATCTCTCCATCTCGCCCATGGTTTATTGACACCATGGGCTCATTGTGTCAACTTAGGCTTGTGATTTCAGAATTCTCCAGCGACGGGCTCGTTGGGAGGATTTTAATTCAAATTATAGACTAGCTGTCTATACTGTGAATTCATATTTAGACGGCGCTTAATCGGAGCGGAGAGACGGTTCTATAAATAATAACAACAACGCTTCCCATGTGTCTATCCACTGTCCTCCATCCGAAGACCTGAAAGAGCCTTTACCAGAGGAGGTCCGGGAGCAGGGGAGGGAGGCGAGGGAGTCTCAGGCTCCTCCAAGGCAGCAAAGGGGAGCCCGCCTGACTTCCCGAACATCCTCCACCCGGGCCGAGGCCATGGATGTGTTTGCGACCAGCGGCGGCCAGAGAAGCGCTTTAGACACATAATGACCTGTAACACTGCTGGGTTGGGTTGGGTTGAGGTATGGGGTGCTGTCCGAGGGGTGTCACAACCCTTTTTTTTGTGGAAATCACTGGTCAGCGGGGCTTGTCCAAACACCCCGCCTGCCCTTGTGGAAGTTTTCCCTGTGGGACCAGATGACTGTGAGGAGAAGGATCCGGGGGGGTGCCCACGGGCTGGGCTTGCTCCAGCAGCGGGAGAGGAGGGGCAGAGCTGCGGGTGTTCAGGCCAGCAGGTGCCAGGGACAGGCTCAAGGGGAACGCAAGAAAAGGTGAAGTGGGAAATTGGCATTTGAGGTTGTTTTTCTGGTTTGTTTCTTCAACTCTTCCCTTCCACCGCTCGAGAGAGATAGAGGAAATGCCGGCATCCAAAAAAAAATCTCCTTCCAAAAGATATAAATAAACTAAAAATGCACTTTTCCTCCAATTGGAGATGAACGAGACTGAACAGAGAGCTAACCCCCTCTTGTTGCCAGCTGAGCATAGAGCTGACCCCCCCTTGATGCCAGCTGTCTGCCAAGCCTGGGACCCGATCCCAGATTTACAGCATTTGCTCCCTGGAGTAAAGTCCGCGGAATAAAACTGGGCAGCTGAGTTACCGACTGAGCCCCCAGGAAAACCGCATTTTGGTTAAACCGATCAGTCGGGACCCTTGACTTTATGTGCCAACTTCTGCCTTTCAGAGGGGGGATTTTACGATCCCTTTACAGCCCCCTCACAACTGCTGTTTCTAAGGGGAGCACTAACAGCCCCTCTCCTGGAACCGGGTTAATCATTCACCTTTCGGCAGGAGTCACTAAATTTTTTGTGAAGTGCCTCCTGACGTTAAACCGTATGTACGAACCGCTCTGCATTTTTTCCGTTTCCTGTGGTAATTGACATATAATATCTCTGTTTCTAACTAGTAGATCTATACAGATGTATATTTTTGCTTAATTTCAGAGCTATGTATACCGAACACATGCTAACTAAAGAAACAGTAGAGGAAATCTGGGAATTCCTTGTGCAGGAAATCCGTGCAGGGCTCTTACTATTATTTATAGAAAATGCCATGTCTTTATTTTGGGCGTTCTTACTACAGAATTGCCTTATTAGGAGTCTCGAGAGGAGATCAAACTGAAAGAATGGAGTCAGTATACTCAGCGCGACAAACAATAATATTTCATAAAAATCTAGTAGAATATAATTTCTAAAGTGAAAAGTTTATTGTGAGACCAACAACCATAGGGTTCTTCTAATAGAAAATCTGTGGCGTTATGACTTTCATCCAGACTGTCAACAGAAAATACAAAATAACCCCAATTTAGCAGAAATAATTTGGTTTCCATTAGTCTTTCTCTTCGCACGCAAGACGCATAAACTGTGCTGAGTATTACCGCAACAACTCGCAAATACCGCCGTTAAACGCACTACATAGAGCTACTCAGATGCCTATAAAATAAGTAGAGAATTAATCTAAAAAGTTACTGACAATGCAGCCCGTCACATATTTTGGTTAATCGTTTTGTATCACCAGATTTCTTTTAAATCTGTCATCTTCACAACGAGGAAATAAAAACGCACTCCAGGCATTCACTGAAGATAACGCTTCTTCCTTTTCCAGAATTGGGGGAGGGGGTGTTTATTTTGCTCCCTTTTTTTTTTTTTTTTTTTTGAGGGGGGGGATTGAGACGACTTTATTGCTTCGGGTTTAAACATATGTCATTTTAGAAAATGTTTCCTTAATGAAAAGGAAACGTTCAAGGCTGCTCACAAGCAACACCTGTCAACACTGACTTACTTAAGACACCTTCGGAGGAAAACATAAGCACGAGCTTCTGAAAGGCTGGCATTTGCTGACAGCACTGGAACACCGAAGTTGGGAACGAGGAAAAATTAATCCTTATTTTTGTGCCTAACGCTGACAATAAAGAAGATGTTCTTTCGGGGATGTCCTGCTGCCCGCTCGGGGCGGCGGGTCCCGCAGCAGCACCACTACTCTGCCTGGGTGCGGGAGAGCATCACACACTGACATTTCTATAAGACCCAGGCTTATGGGAAGCTCTGCTTAGAAACAAATCCGTGGCATTTTAATATTTTTTTTTT